AAAGGACCCCTAAATTTCTTTTTAATGTTTGTTTATTTTTGAGAGGAAGAGAGTGCAAGTAGGGGAGGGGCAAAGAGAAGGAGATAGAATCTGAAGCATACTCCAGGCTCTGAGCTGTCAGCACAGAGTCTGATGCGGGGCTTGAACTCACGGACCATGAGATCATGATCTGAGTCGAAGTTGGACGGCTAACTGACTGAGCCATCAGGCGCTCCAACCACCCATTTTTAGGATGCTGTATATCTTAGTATACAGTTCACAAGCAAAGCTCCCTTCTCTTATGTATATGTACAAAAGTGAATTCATAAGATAATGACATTTAAAAGATAGCGTTTCTGCTGGCATGGTTAAAATTTATTCAACTAGGTTTTATTGGATGACTACTGTAAGTCAAACATCATGCTTTTGAAAAAGCATGTTTATAAAAGGCCTAAAGGTTATGGTATTGGAATTTATCTTAATTCAATTTTTTTAGCATGATAAACGACTGGATTTTCTGTTAACTCAATGGTTAACTTTAGTGAAGATCAGAATCACCTGCTGGGCTTATGAGAGCACAGATTTCTGAACCCAAACCCGAACTTTTACTGGAATAGAGCCTAAGAATCTGCATTTCTAACAAGTTTCTTGGTAATGCTAATACTTCTGGTCCAGGAATCATACTTTGAGAACCACTGTGTTAACCCATACCCGTTTTCTATCATTTAGAAGACATAAATACAGTGCGTGCGTGTGCGCACACGCGCGCACACACACACACACACACACACACACAGCTGCATTACCTGAGTTAGTCTTCAAGCAGGAAGGAAAGGGGTGGGTATAATGATCCAGATCATGCTTCTATTTTGGCACTGCTTTAATTTCTTCCTTATAACAGATTCACAGAAGAGAGGGCCAAAAATAGTATAGGTTTATTTTGGCTAATAACCATGGTTTTCTACTCCACTTCTTTATAACCCAACACCTAATACGGGTAATGTCAACTTCAACAAAACATAAGCAGAACACATAAAAACATGACCCCAAACTGAAAGTAATTAGAAAATAACCAGCACGCATATCTGTCCGTCATCATCCGCCAGACATGCCTACAAATATTGGTAAGTTTCCATGAAAGGTTCAGCATACAGATCCTTACTTACTATTAGATAAAATTTACAAATTAATAATGATCTTGAGATATTTTGAACCACAACGTAGACTTCCAGATTTTTAATTTCTACAGTGAAGTATTTTATTTTGATTTATGCCTATACCAAAAAATAACCGTGATTTTAATTTTATTTGTTTCTTACAAGGGAAGGCGAGATTATATTTGCTAAAATTGTTGCTTTAGAAATTTACAGAAATGATGTAGATTTCAAGGGAATCCAGTATGCTTAGTCTTTCCCAAGTTCTACTAAGCTCCCATTCTATGCCATACTGCAGGAGTGCTAAGAAAAACAAATTAAGAGCTTTTTGTGTCACATTCCCTTCCAGAATAAGTTTTCTTTAAATACATTTGTCAGAAAATATTCTGGCTATTAACAGTTATCCATTCAATGTTTACTATGTGTCAGGTATTCGTTACATACCATACGTTGTTTATTTAATCCTTTTAGTAAATTAAACCCAAATAGGAGGTATATGCACAGTTACCAGTGAAGAAGCTGAGACTGAGGGAGAATAAATTGTCTGAAATGAAACTAGTCAATGGTGGATCTAAGATTAAAATCTGAATTTCTATAGTCATTATCAACTGCCTCTCAACACCTAGTGATCCATACTACTTAACAATAATAGCTACCATTTACTGAGTTCTTATGAAATACTTGGTGAAGCTAAATAGTTTACACTATTTCATTCGACTCTCTTAAAATTCTATGTGACAGTCTTCATTTTACCAGGAGGGTATTGACATCATGAGAAGTTTCAAAGAACTTGCCAAAAGGTTACAAGTGTATAGTGGGAGAGCTGGGATTTGAACCTTCATTGGACTCTAAAGCTCCCTGCTGTTTTCAGCTAGCACACTTATCCCCCTAAATGTGCCTCCCATGTAGTTACTCCTATGGTTCTATCTTGAATACACAGAATTTGATACCTACTTCAGCTGTGGTTGAGACTATTATCTCTATCATATATTTTAATATTAATTTTACAATTATTAGTTTTACCATGCTACATTTGTTCATATTAAGCTTTAAACACCCATCTTCCATGAAATCTGTAATGAAACTTGGCCTCTAAATTAGGATGCCCTCACTCTACTTTTGGCTGATTCTTTGAAACTGAGTGTACACTGAATATTCTAAACTTTTTATCATGGTGAAATATATATAAAATGTACTATTTTTAACAATTTTTGGGTGTGTAACTCAGTGGCATTTGGTACATTGACAATGTTACACAAGCATTATCACTATCCATTTAAGAATCTTCTGTTAAAACTGAAACCTTAAATGTAAAATTCCAACTTCAGATGATGCTATACTCAAAGTTCCAACTTGTATTAACAATATGTTGAATGTTACACCACCAAGTTAAAAAAATTTGTGTGTGTGTGTGTCTTTTGCTATCACTTAAGAAACTATTGTAGTTATATTACTGATGAAATTCTATTAAATAGAACCCTGAAACACTCTACCTAAGGCCTCCTTCCAGGTCAATATGAATAATTAATCAAACACTGTTTAAGTGTCAAATGGCTTGTACCAACAAAAACATTCTATGTCTTTCCCTCTGCTCAGAAACCATCCTGCTAGTTATTCTACTTACATTTATTTTTACTGTAACTTCACTTTTTGGCTTCAAAGGATTCATTCATCTTTCCATTATTCTTAGTAAACCTATAGTGGCTACATAAACTACAAAACATTTTTTTCCCTAAATGTTTATAATCCATTTAGCAATAACCCTAGATTTTTTTTATATTTAACTTTCTTTGATAGTAATTTGTATTTAGAATCATCTGGTCCTTGATAAATATTTGCTTTAAACCAAGTAACCTTAAATATAAGAAAATATTTTAGAAATATACTTTAGGAAAGCTGTACCTTAATAAAAAAACTAGATATAACAGCACTGTCTAAACTCTCTAGGGCATATTTTGGGAAGACTCCTACTCTCCCATCATCCGATGGTATTAGCAGCTAAGGTGCTGGGAAACTTGAACGTAGCAAAATGGAAAACATTACAACCAGTTTTGGAGTTGAAAATGTATTTTATAAATAAAAGCTAGTATAATGTTCACACTATTTTGTTATTTGTGCACTAAATATGAAATGCTTAGATGACATCAATTTGCTTACCAAATTCTTAAGCTACAAAATAAGGGTCAACACACTTAAATTTTCAAGTGATCATTAAAACAGTACAATTTTATACAGCAAGTATATAAAAAGTACCAGTAGGCTAAAAATCTAAATCCATTCACTGATTTTTTTTTTCAGCAAGCTTTATAAATCCATCACAGATCTAATGATGTTTAGAGTATATCATGATCTCATTTAATAGCAAAAGGGAAAAAAGGTTCTCCCAGACAACAGCCTTTGGTGCCTCTGTCACACTTGAAGAAAATCAAACTACTTTAGGACTCTAACTCAGGTGTCCAAGTTGTTTTTACATGCCTAATTAAAAGCTTCAGCAAATGGGAGTACATTAAAACTCAAACACTATTCTCCTAGTGCCTCCAGTAGTTTATTGGTAGTTATTATCCACATTTTTATAAATATAAACATTCTAAGTGACTGTCACTAGTGCAGGTACATCTAACAATGAGAGCTCCACAGGAGGCTACTTCATTTTGTGTGTAACAAGGTTAAGGTTCCAAAAACCTAACTGTACCACTAAAAACAAAACAAACCCCCAAAACAGAAAACCACAAATCAAAATCCTCTTAGCAAAGTGCAGTTCTTTTGGTTATCTTCAGAACAAAGAGCTGTTGGCTTTACATGTAGAAATTATGTAGATGTACTAATACATGGTCACTGGAAATAAGTCCTTGCTTGTAGATAAGAATCAGGTAGAAGGTTTTCCTTTTAATTTAGAGGGGTTTTTTGGATTCCAGTGTAAACAGCACCAGCGAATTTTCATAAAACATAGCTCTGCTAGTTTCCGCTTCGTTTTCTAGAACCGTAATTTTTATCTGCAGCACTGTATCATTTCATCCTACCTTATAATCAGGACTTGACTGCCCGCATAATGCTGCTTAGATTGTAAACAATTAAAGCTCAGAGCACTTCTAGCATCTTTCTTACATTTTCACTCCACAGTGCATCAGGTGGTGTTTATATATAAAGCTTTTGTTCCTCTCAAAAGACTACAAAAATATATGAAACCACATCTGTGTTCATCCAGCGTCAATAAAACAAATTATTTTTCAACTGGAATACTGTAGAGACCATGTATTGTAATTACATCTTCTTGATTAAATTCATCAATTGCTTTCTTCATAAATTCATACATATACCAAGCATGAGCACTGATGATTCGTCTACATGCCCTAATTTACTATATAAAAGAATTAAGTAAATTATTTTAGGTTCAAGTGAAAGTGCTCCCGACAATCAACTGTTTCTATAACAGCCCTAAACCCCCAAAAGGTGTTTTAAACCTGACCATGGAGAAAGATGCATAGCTACTTCTACAAAGTAAAAAAACTACACACCAAAACATGCATTGTCAGGAAAATTAATCCATGCACTTGAATATGCCCTTAATACCTTATTTTTATTATTTTGAGTTAGACCAATTCAAAACATTGCCTAGAATTAAGATATAGCATTACTTCATTTGATTCCAAAAAATGTCAAAATTCATTTGGCCAAAACTTAAAAAAAAAAAACCACTTCCTCCTTCTCCCTTACTGGTTGGACCAATGTGATCAATACAACTGTATATATATTAATCTACCTTAACATTTCCATTCATTAGCATTTCCTCTTAACATACAGAGCCTTATATGCAATTTCCTTTAAAGGCTTTCCCCCAAAAGATGTAAGAACAAAACACTAGGCAGATACTCTTCAAAGTTTTATTTCACTAACTTCAGGTCAAATTTCCACAACAGTTTTCTCGTCAATCCATGCTTGGCTTCCAGAATGGTAGTACCAAAAGATTTGTGGGGTAGGGAGAAGAGACCATTTCAAGAAGCACTGCATTTACTCATCTTCCACAAGGCAAAAGAGTTGGGCATCTGATTGTTCAACAAAACAAAGCTTTATCAGCATCCAGGAGGGCAGGCAGGCAAACCAGGCTGGAGACACTTTTTCCATTTGTCAAATCAGACCGGAGAAAACCCACTCCACATAGAGAGAAAAGGTATTACCATTCATCTTTTCTTTTTCTGTTGCCGCAACATTTTTCTTCTTTTAATTATCATATCATGGAGTTTCTCAAGTCCTTCCTTCAGTCCATCTCCTATGATTGCACAGGTGGGCTGCAAATGCCAGGGAGTGGACGAGCTCAGTTCACCCATAGCTAACAATTTCTCAATTTCTGAGAGAGACAATGAGTTCCTCAGGTCTTGCTTGTTAGCAACTATAAGTACAGGGACTCCCTGATTTTCTGATATCCTGGTTATTTTATGAAGTTCAGTTTTGGCTTCTTCCATTCTTTCAACATCAACAGAGTCCACAACAAACACAATGCCATCTGTGCATCTGGTATATGACTTCCACAGTGGCCTTAATTTCTCCTGGCCACCTACATCCCAGAAGTGAAAAGTGACGGTTTTAGAATTTCCCAAGGTTACCTTAATTTTTTCAGTGTTAAATCCTTTGGTGGGTACAGTATTTACAAATTCATTGAACTGCAGCCTGTATAATACAGTTGTCTTTCCAGCACAGTCCAAACCCAGAATAACGATGTGAAAGGACTGAAATGAAGGCAGGCTGGACAGGATAGAAGTCTGGTCTGACAGTCCATTCCCCATTTCCAGGTGCAAATAAGCGTTCCAAATTGAAATGCTTTCTTCTTAATGCTTCAGAACTTCTCTTCCTAGGGGATCCAGCTACAAGACTGCTGAGGGGGAAAATGAATAAGTTATTCTTGTGAAGTACTGTACTACAACTGTTTTTCTCTCTTTCTGCTTAAATAAGCAAGACGAGGAACTTAAAAAAACCCGTGGTTCAGTAAACAAGCCAAATGATATATGAAACGTACGCAAACCAAGGCAAACGACGGGATAATCCTTGTGATTTAAATTCTTTCACATTCACGAAAATTGCAATTAACATCTACTTCTCTACGTCCCTGGGCTCCCAAATCTCAAAGACCTCATTCTGAAGACAACCTAATCACCAGTATCGGGTTCGACTTGCAATAACCACAGAAGTGCCTTTTTGGCAGAAAATTCGTAACACATTATCCTATTTTGGGGATCTAATTCCACGTGCTTAACAGCATACCCAAGGTCACTATTATCCTCCCCATTCACCTCTCTCCCCCCAAAAAAAATAGCACAACGCTCTCACCTCCGGAACTGGAGTCTGGATCCAAATAAGAAAGCATCTGGTAGACGGTTTTTACGCGAGGGGTTGGAGAGAAAAATCACCCCACGTCCGCTCAGCTTAGCTCCCCACGCAGCTCTGGCAGTTGCTGCACTAGAAACCTTAGATTCAGGCTCTGACCACGCCCACCCACGAGCCCAAATTCCATTGGTCACCCGCATCCGCGAGTCCAATACACACCCGCCCCAGCGCCCTAATTGGTGAGAATAACTGCCGCTCCCAGTGCGGCCGAGCTGGGCTCTCCCTCGGTCCACAGGCACCACCTGTTGCCCTCAAGTTAGAAAACAAGGCGTCCACGGAGGAAGCCGAGTGGCCCCTGCAGGTGACGGAGAGCCTCGGCCGGTCGGTCAGGTCGCTGCCAGACAGCTCGCTCCGCCCGTCCCAGCACACCTGCAGCGCGGCTCGCGGACGCCGTGCGGGGGCTCCCACATCCGGGACCCGCGGTCACCGCCGGAGTGTTAACCCTTCGTCCGCTGGCCGGAGGGTGCTCGCTGAGGCCGCGCCAGCCCCCAGGAGTGAATGATTCGATGTGCAGCACCCGCACGGGCCGACCCACTGTCCCGGCAGCACGGGCCCCTCATCTGGCCCCTCCGCACCCGGCGGGCTCCTCTCCCTCGGCAGGGCGTGGCCACACCAGCTGCCCTCCCGCTGCGGCTCACCTGACTCACCGTCTTTCCTCGTCTGCACCCAGCGTCGCTCACCGCCGCTCAGGAGCGCGCTGGTACCTGTGGGAAGGCACCAGTGAGGCCCCGTTGGTGGCCGGGGAGGAGATGCGGCTTCCAGGGGCGCCCGGCGGGCGCCGTGCGCCAGGCAGCCTAACGTTGCCCTGCCGATCGCTCCACGCAGCAGCCTGGGCCCCGCCTCCCTTCAGCGCGCGCTGGGGCGCTGGCCATTGGGGGGCGTGCGGGAGCCCGGTCTCCTAGCAACGGCAAAACAAGGTCACGTTCGAACTGACCGACCTGCCACTAGCGAGGTCGGGCGGGGCTTCCGGCTTCAGCTTCCAGGGTAGTTGCTGTCACGGACGCTTTCTCTAGCCGGCGGCTGGCTTGAGCGGTTCCAGGCGGGTCCCACCCTGCACCGCCTATCCTCCGGGTGCCGTACGGTGTCTTCTGGGCGGTGGCCGGTGACGTACCGTCCGTCAGAGATTTCAGAAGATACCGGACGGGCGGGTCCCTTATATAACGGGGTGACGTGGGCTTGCCTCAGTAGCTGCCATGAACGTCTGGGCCAGAATGATGTCTGAAACTCACCTTCCTTTTGCAAAACGAATATTCTCTCTCTCCCACACGATCCTAGCACCATCCCTGCCGTGAGGTAGAAAGACCCCAGTTTCACAAATGAGGAAATAAACTGAAACATTAAATAGGTGTTTCTACTTAAGGTGGAACTTAAACTCTACTTAACTAGTCATTAAGTGCCGAAGGCTTCCTGTTGAATAATTCTGACCCTAAATGGCAGTTGTGTGCTTGACCCATAAATCGCCAAATACTTACTGAATACTTAACAGGCAGTAGGGATAATTCTATGTGCTTGGAGATAAAATGGTGAAGAAATCACATATTGTCTCTGTCTCCTGGGATACTGGTCTCATTGGGAGTAAAAGAACATCACCAAATTGCCACAGGAATAAATTTAATTAAAAATGTGATCAGTGATCATTTCGGGATATTTAGACAACATAGAAGGTGTGGTACTGGAAAAGAGTCAATCAACAAACATCTTTTTGGTTGGGACTGTAAGAGATTGGAACTTGGAAGAATATACATGGTGCACTTTCAAAAAAATTGCGCTTTTAAAATACAGATTAAAGGTTCCTCAAGAAATTTGTTTCTCAACACCATCATTGCTAGTGATATTTATTACCATTATTACTAGATTTTTTAAATAACAGAGATAAGGGGGACCTGGGTGGCTCACTCTGTTAAGCCTCAACTTCAGTTCAGGTCATGATCTCACAGTTCATGAGTTCTTAGCCTTGGGTGGTAACAGCTGACAGCTAGAGCCTGGAGCCTGCTTTGGATTCTGTGTCTCCTTCTCTCACTGCCCCTGCCCTGTGCTCGCTCGCTCTCTCTCTCTCTCTCTCTCAAAAATAAACATTAAAAAAAATTTTTTTAAAGTAACAGACATAAAACCTTAAGACTAAGCACAGTGTGTATTTTCAAGATCACAACACCAGTTTTGAAAATAAAGCTGAAATCTCAAATAGCATATTCTATCAAGCTGCTGAATCTAGTGTAATCTAAAGCTTGCCATGTTAGTTATAATTGTGGAACTTCATTAGCCATTTACAGTAATCAGCAAATAAGTTCTAAAGGGCTTAGTGTAATGACTAGTCTTCTTTTAGAAATTTAACAGGTATTCTTTATTAAACTGGAAAAACTTGCAAACTGTCATGAAATCAAGAATTAAGAATAAGAGTCCATAACAGCCTTCTGTTTACAATAGCTTTACAATTAAGTAGGCCCTTCCCATGTTAGCTGCAAGGGTGCGTATCTGTACACTTTTCCCTGGAGCAAAAAGGAGATAGAAAAATACTAAGAGTTTCTATCTTGGCAGAATCACCTCCACTGAATTACACTTAATACTATAACATAGGCTTCTAACTAGAACAGGGGTTGGCAAACTATAGCATGTGTGAATTTAGCTACATGTATCAGGAGATGAGAATGGTTTTTAAGTGTTAAAGGGCTGCAACAGAAAAGAATATAAAGAGAGGCCATTTGTGGCTCACAAAACCTAAAATATTTTCTTTCTAGCTCTTTAGAGAAAAATGATATTCCTGCTCTGTAAGTAATAACAACCATACGAAAACTTGCACTAAACGATATAAAAAGCAATGGAATTCATGGATATACTGTTTATTTTGTTGCACAACCTTCTTGTAGAAGGCAAGTTCAGATATTTTATTTAGAGGCTATTTCAGGAAAATGTTCCTTTTAAGCTATAGTTCATAGGCTGCGTGTTGAGGTGTTCTGGGGTGTCTCAGGAGCTCATGAGGATTCTATGGGAGATTTTACCATTTTGAGGGAAACACAGTGCCATCTGTTGGACTCTATTAACTACTGTAACTATTAAGCTGACTGGATCTATCTATTTAAATGGATATTTGGAATATTTCTTTGGGCCTGAGGCACCATGAAAAAGTTATTTAGACTAGAGGTTCTGCCAATCCCTGCCCTTAGTTACGGTTTTCCAAACTTTACTAATATGAGAAGCATCTGGTAGTGCTTGTAAAAACATACTTTCTTGGTCTCCATCACAGACCTGCCAAATCAGAATCATTAGGGGAGGAGCTAGTGATCTGTATACATCAAGAATCTCGGGTAATTAATGATTAGACATTTTTTTTAATGTTTTTATTTATTTTTAGGAGAGAGAGACAGAGACAGCATGAGCAGGGGAGGGTCAGAGAGAGAGGGAGTCACAGGCTGAAACAGGCTCCAGGCTCTGAACTGGCAGTCAGCACAGAGCCCGACGCGGGGCTAGACATTTTGAAGAAATACTAACCTTAGGAAATCCATAAGCTTTGTCCTTTGAAATACTACAATCGAATAATGTACCTTGTTTCTCCTTTCTGAATACCAGGACCCAGATCAAATCTGGGCTGTAGCACTTTCCCTCTCTTCCATAATCTGATTTTCTATAATGTGCTTAAACTAAGCAGGCATAGTGGCTCCTGGGTGGCTTAGTCGGTTAAGCATCTGACTTTGGCTCAGGTGATGATATCATGGTTCGTAGGTTCAAGCCCCACATCAGGCTCTGTGCTGACAGCTCATATCCTGGAGCCTGCTTCAAATTCTGTGTCTGCCTCTCTGTCCATCCAGTGCTCACGTTCTGTCTCTCAAAAAATAAATAAACATTAAAAATAATTAAGGCACACACTGTAGCTAATGTCCTTCATGACCTTTGCACACTGTTTTCTCTTCTAGGATACCTCACTTTGTTTCAGTACATATTTACTGGAGTCACCCAATTTTGAACAGAAAGCATGGGCTATGGTGGAAGGAATTGGTTCAGTAGAGGCAACAGACACACAGCACACAATTGCTACATAATACAGTAGGCCTTCTGAGTGGTAAAATAGAAGTTATTATAAAGTCCTATGGTTGTTCAAGTTTTATCTGACAGAGTCAGGGTCAGGAAAAATATGATTTTGAAGCTGAATATTAAAAGAACTCAACAGTAGACAAGGTGTAGGGGGATAGAATTGCAGCTAGAAGCAACAGTATAAAGAGCAAGGAAGCATAAACTTTATGCTCAAAGACATCCAAAAAGAGGGGATTATAATATCACCTAGGGGGCAGAGGGGAAAAAAGATGTGCTAGGAGGATTTTAGCCACTCTCAACAATAGATAAATCATCCAGGCAGAAAGTAAAAAATCAATGCTGAATGTTGTTCAGCATTTGAACAACACCATAGACCAAATAGACCTAACATACATATACAGAACATTGCATCCAACAGCAGCAGAATATGCATTCTTCTCAAACCCATATGGAACATGAGCCAAGATAGATCATATGTTGGATCACAGAACAAGTCTCAATAAATTCAGGAAGATTCAAAATACATCAGGTATCTTTTCTAACCACAATGGCATGAAATTAGAAATCAATAACAGGACAAGAATTGGAAAATTCACAAATACATAGATATTAAGTAGCATACTCTTGAACAACAGATAAAAGATGTATTTTAGAAAATGTTAAAAACTAGGAGACAAATGAAAATGGAAAAACAGGACAAAACTTCTTGGATGCAGCAAAAGCAATTTTAAGAGGAAAGTTTTTTAGCTATAAATACCTACATTAAGAAAAACTAAAGATGTCAAATAACATTTTAACACCTTAAGTTTGGTTCAAAATATGCAGACCAATAAATGTGATATAACATTAGTAGAATTAAGAATTCAAATCATATGATCACCTCAAAAGATTCAGAAAAAGCATTTGAAAAAATTTAACATCCTTTTTGATAAAAACTCTCAATAAATTGAGTATGAAGAAATGTATCTCAGCATAATAAAGGCCATATATGACAAGCCCACAGGTACATCATATCCAATGGTGAAAGGTTCAAAGCTTTTCCCTTTAGATCAGAAGCAAGACAAAGGTGTCCACTCTTATTCACCTTCCTATTCAACATAGTACTGGAAGTTCTAGCCAGAGGAATTAAGCAAGAAAAAGAAATAAAAGTCATATAAATCAGAAAAGAAAAATTGTCATTGTTTGCAGATATGATCTTATATATAGAAAACACTAAAGAGTCCACAAAAAACCCCTGCATCTAATAAGCAAATTCAGTAAGGTTGCAGGATACAAAATCAACATAAAAAATCAGCTGTGTTTTTATGCACTAACAAACTATGTAAACAAAATAAATAATCCCCACTTATAATACCATCAGAAAAAAATAGAATATATAAGAATAAATTCAACTAAGGAAGTATAAGATCTGTATACTGGGTGCCTGGATGGCTCAGTCAATTGAGCATCCAACTCTTGATTTCCACTCAGGACGTGATCTCAGGGTCATGGACATGAGTCGCGTGTTGGGCTAGTGAGCTAGTGTTGGGTTCCACACTGAGCATGGAGCCTGATTATGATTTCCTATCTCTTCCCCTTTGCCTCTCTTCCCTGCTTGTGTGTTCTCTCTCTAAAAGAAAATAAATAATAAAATAATAAAAAAGATCTGTACACCGAAAAGTTAAAAACACTGATGAAAGAAATTAAAGAGGACACAAATAAAAGATTCTCTGTGTTCATGGATTTGAAGAGTTAATATTGTTAAACTGTGCCTACCAACCCAAGCAATCTATAGATTGAATGCAATGTCTCTCTATATTCCAATGGCATCTTTCACAAAAATAGTAAAAATAATCCTAAAATACATGTGAAATCACAAAAGAGCCCAAGTTACCAAAGCA